TTTCTGCACATACTTGCAACGTTGTAACAACTGAAAACGTTCTGTAATAACGTTCACTTTTTTCAAAAGGCTTGAGTTTTAGCAACGTGTGAACATTCGAGTCAATATTAAGACATCATTTCGAAAACTTTATAATCTTGAGGATCCAGAACTTGAGAGACTTTTTATGCATATCATTTTGTTTTCATATTTCTAAACTGCATTTTTTACATCTTTTCATGCATTCTGATTTTGAAATTATATTTTTATACGGTTTTATGTAACTAGATACGAGGAAGTTTGTGAACCAAACGAGAGGGCACAGGAAGCATCAGAGCTATGTGCCTGAAGCCATTCACACATACTTTTTGTATTAACTGTACATATGTCTTTCTTACTGCTTTAATGAATTTCCTGTCACCAAGCCAAGCCTTTTTTCTCTTTGAAGGTGGGGATATGTAAATTAAAATTAAGCCCATAATTCTCCCTCTCTTTTCTAAAAATCGTAACTTTACTAGACTGCGTCATTTCTAGATCAACCCATCTTGCATGGCTTGAGTAAAGCTTATGACGTAACTGATTCAGAACCTAAACTCACGATATCGAGACTTGAAATCTTTCTAACCTAAACCAAAACCTTCTGTTGGTGAGCCTCCATATTGGATAACTGCGCACTTTTATCTTCAGCTGTCCTCAGTCGAGATGCTACTTCGCTCCTTCTGCTTTGTTGTGCTACTAACTGTGCCATTATCTAAAATGTGATATTCTCTATATAAAATTGTGGGTTGCGTATGGCGCCCATGACCATGTGTGATGAAAGAGATATTTTTGATAATTAGTTTGTATCCAGCAATAAAAGTTACATTCAGTTCGGCTACGTCTGTTTACAAGTCTTTCCTTCGAGTGTCATCTTTTTTTAACTATGCAGTAAAGTCTCTCCAGGACGTAACGCAGAGAACCACCGTCGTCAGTTTCTTGCAGCTTACTCCAAGTCATCTCATTGCATATATATAGATATCTGTGTGTGTAATAGAGCTTTTATAGCTGTGCATGTAATACACTTTTTACTCATTTCTACCGATGTATTTTAATTTATATGATATAAAAAATATAATTTTGACTCCTTTTTAGATTTAATTAAAAAAAAATAATTTAAAAAATTTATTTAACTCCTTTATAATTTTCAGGGTTTTTAATTTGCTAATTTCAGGGTTTTTAATTTAATACTATATTGTACATTTTCTTGCGTGTTTCGCTTTTTTTGCCTGTTTAGTTTTAATTTTAACTAACTTTTTCAGGCACATATGAAACTGAAAAAACTGTTAAAATTCTTCAGCTGCTCCTTCAAAAAATGGGGAAAAAAAAAAAAGCAATGTCTTTCATATTTTTATTTCAGTTTTATTAATTTTATTGAATTGTTTTTGTTAAATTTTGAAATCTTTACTTTTTTTTTAGCCCAAAGGGGCTATGTGCCCAGAAGGGCTATTAATTTCGTTTCGGCATTTTGCTTCGAATCACTGCAAACGTATCACTTTTCAAATTGTTGCCACGAAATGTTAGAGCCCTGCATGATATTGAAAGAAATTAAAAATAATGAAGAATCTGCATCAATGTATCTATTCGACCCACTGTGAAAAAACAACGGTACCTAGAAACCAATTTTTAATATCGTAGTCCTCACTCAAATATGGGCATCTTGAAGCCCAAATTTGAAATTAGTTTTATTACTTATTTCATATTTTGTAAAGCTTTAACGAATTTTTGATTAACAAACTCAAGGATTTCAAAGCGAGCAATGGAAACACTAGCTGGGGGGGGGGACATTTTGATCTCCAGGTACGCTAGACTGTGTATTGGAAATTCTAACGGTATGCTCTTTTTAAAGTATTTTGTGATATTGCTGTTGAATTGAATTTTATCGTTTATGTGCAAAGAACATGATATTTAATAAATAAAGGTAACACACAAAACGTCTTAAAAAAAGCCTCTTTAGGCGTAATATGAAATCTGAAAGCTTTCAGATTTTATATTTTTATTTTATTATTTTTTTTTTAAATTCGATATGTGTATTTTCTGTTAAAGGGTTGCCTACCATTCAAGATCTCATACTGATTAAATAATGATCTCCTGATTTATAAAACAGTTTCAGTTTTTCATAATAAGTAGTCATAAAGAATTCGAGTTAAAAATGAATACTTAGCAAAGCTGATAACTTCGTAATTTTGTCATCAGTTTCTAAATCTGAATGACATCTTAGCAAAAGCTGATCAAATATTATTTTAACAAATATTAATTAAAAGGTAAGAAAAATTGTTTTCGTAACTCGACACGGTTAAATTTGAATTTCGTTGTTTTGTTAATAGGTTGAACACTACACAAGAGAAGCAATTATAATTAATAGATAAGTAAGGAAAAGAAAATAACCTTGTAATATGAAAAGAGCCTTGTTTTCTCTGTTTTTTGATATATACAGAATCAGTAGAAAAAGAAATGTCAAAGCCTTATAAAGCTTGTAAACTTGTAAAGCCTTGTGAATCTGGTAATTGGTAAACTTTCAGGTTTATGAAATTCAATCAAAAAGTAACAAAATTAGTAAAAGTTTGTGTTTCTCAAGACAATAATCTTGAATATGAAATAAATAAAGAAAATAATCTTGTAACATGAAAAGAACGGTGTTTTCGCTGTTTTGTGATATATACAGAATCAATAGAAAAAGAAATGTTAAAGCCTTATAAAGTTGATAAACTTGTAAAGTCTTGTGAATTTGGTAATTGGTAAACTTTCAGATTTATAAAATTAATAAAAGTTTGTGTTTGTCAAAAGATATCAATTACTTGAAAAGATAATTTGCTTCCGAAATAAAACATAATTACTATAATTTGATACAACATATTAAAATTACCAATTCAAATTTCTTATAATCTTAGAAAATTCTTATTAAATCGACGCGAATATATAAGGGAGAAGATCGTATTTCAAAAGTTGGTGGAAGAAAAACGCTAACGTTAAGTTCTTTTCAGAAAATTCAGAATGTGGTGCTTAAGAATGCCAAGAGGTTATATTTGTCATCCTTCATGTCAATGAAATTTGAGCAATCGAAATATGCTTTTAATAAAAGCAGTATTTTTTAAGTTTTCAGTCATATTATACGATGAGTTGTGCGAAATAGCAGCAACACATTGGCACGTGAAACACAAAAATGTATTTTATTTCGGGAAGTGGCAACAGATTTCTTTTAAATCGACATGTTTATTGATTAAATTAGAAATCCAGATATATCTTACGTTTTACTGCGTGGCAAGATATCACTTTTAAATCGTCGAGTTTGTTAATCAAAAACTCATTAAATTCGGGGAAATATGAAATATATGGAAAACAAATTCGAAGTTCCGGCTTCGAAGTGCACAGTGCTTAGATGAAAGATTACGGATGTTCAAAATTTGATGGCTGTATGTGCCACTTTTTTCTGCAATGCGATGACACTTCTTCTATATCGCTCAGTTTTCTAGTCAGATTGACAACAAAAATATCTTAAGCTTTCCAGAAAGGCATCACAAAGCTTACATATTGCTGAACTTTAAAATTTCCTTAAGTATATGCAAAATAAAAATAAATAAAAACCAAATGGAAAATTCAAAATTAGGACTTCGAGTTGCATATGTTCGATGGAGGACTATGTGCGTTCAAAATTGGGTGCCACTGCACACCGCACTTTTATACAATGGAAGAAATATACATGTATACATACGTACATACATGCACACATATGTACATATATATACATACATATGTACACTCATACATACATTCTTCATTCATACATACATTCATCATAAATTCTTCATTGTATAATAATAAAAGAGATTAGGATTCTAAAGACTCGAATGTCGGAATATGCGCAACGATTCGAGTTTTCGAATTTCGAATTTTTTTAAGATTCATGGATTTGAATGTTCCATCTCTCCAAATAATGAGTCTGCTGAAAGCAATGATGAAAAAAAGTTGCAAAAATAAATATAAAAGAAGCATCATGTAAAGAATGTCACAACATATCTTAATCCTCCACAACATATCTTAATCCTCCACAATTTAATGGCATTTGATGTTACTTCTTCCGCAGTTTCTTAATAAATTTATTATTATTATTAATTTTAATTAATTAACGAAGCATTAAGTAATTAAAGCAGAAGTATTAATTAATTAAGAAATAACTAGCACAGTGGTTTTGATAGTTTCTGCCAGGACCACAAAAAAAAAAAAAAAAAAAAAAATCCTTTTGTATTCATTCATATAGTATTAGTATATCATGCGGCTAACAATATACTTGCTTAAGAACTATATAGTGTACACGTATACACAATGCTTAAACAAATTTATTATTTTATATATTATATATAATATAATGGTAAACAATTTGCATTAATTATGATTTGCAAAATTATCTGTTACCTATAATAAACTTTGGAACATTACATGCTAAAAGTAAAAAGCTTTAAAACATTTTCAGCTAATTCAGTTTGAGTGACAAGAAAAGATTAGGATAAAAAAGCTTACTATAGAATACGTTGTAAAGAAATTTTTGTAAAACAACCTCGCAAAACAATTTTGCACCTTTGCAGGCAGTATCTAAAATTCAATCGAAATTTTACAAAAGCTGATAAAAATCTTACTTCTCAAAAAATTTTAATTTAATTTCTAGAATTTTCAAATCACTTGGACAAAAAAAAAAAAAGTTGTTTTTATATCAATACATATTTAAATTTTGATTTCAGTGTTTTTGTATGTTCAACAGAAACAGTAATAAATAAATAAATAGCAAAAAGCGCAATTTTGCTCTTTGTCTTTCAACCAATAGAGAATTAGTACGAAAGAAACTTTGCAAAGCTGGTAAACTTATTGGAAGTTTAATAAAATTCAATAAAAATCTAATAAACTTAACAAGCTAATAAAAATTTGTGTTTCTCAATAAATATAAATTACTAAGAAGGCTAAATTTTTCCCAGAATAAGACAAGCTAAAAATTTGATTTCAATGATTGTTTTATATGGCCCATACTGTACAAGATAAACAGTTACAGTTAATAAATAAATTAAAAAAAAAGTGAATAAAATAATCTTACAGTTTGATGAACAAAGTTAATTTGCCTCTCTGCAACATTGACCGTCTTTTTCACTTTGCTGAATTTTATAGTTCATTTCAGTTCTTGAAACGTGTTGTATAAGTTTCACCACTGCGAAATAAGAAGTTGTACAAATCAGCTTAAAGTTATTCTCATAAATTCACTTTAGAACTTATCTGAAGTAGTAACATTGCCACACTTGAAAAGTCTCAGTTTTTGCCAGAAATAGTTAGTTTTCAGTTCTTTTTCATAGCTGAGTCACTCAACTTTTAAAACTTTTTCATTGTTCCTGGTTTTGTCACTGTTCTTTTTTATTATGTACACCATATTTTCTCTGTTTAGTATAAGATGAAGATGCAGAAAAGGAAAAATCATGATATTTAAAGAAATAGTGTTACATGTTGGCAACAGTAATGGTTCAGAAATGTCCACTTTAAAAAAGTAGTTTTTAGTTTCACTTTTATTTTTTACGCCTACAATTCATTGAAACTCTAATACTTTTTTAAATACTATAATTGAAACAGTTCTAAATTTCGAAACATCATCAAATCTCGGTTGCTGAAATCATAGAAATTGATTGCTTGATTTCATTGCTATATTTGGTTAGAACAATATTTCAGTTCCGTTTTGTAAACAAATATATTTAAGCATAAGAACACAGCTGATATTTACTTTACCCGAAAAAAAAAAAAAATCTTGCTATAATTGTTTTCGAAAAATAAATTTATGGTGATATAAATTTAAGTCTTTCTGATCAAGTTCAAAAAGTTCACAGTCTTTTTTTTAAATTTGGTATGTCTCATAGATGTTTGAGGATTAATGTTCTGTCCTCGTCTTGAAAAACTCAAACCAAACTCTCCGACTTCAGGAGAGCTTTTGCATACTGTAGAAACATTACTCTGATATAGAGTCTGTTTTGAATCACTGTTCCACAATTTTGTTTTCAGTCTCAACAACCACTCTGTTAATAGATTCTTGCCACCGATGGACAAGAGGATTCTGGGTTGGAGCACTGGCACATGAAACAAGTTCTGGAGCATTCGAACTTCTCCCTGCGACGGAGTAGGACAACAGAGAAGCAGCTTGCGCAGCTGATGACCAACAGGGGGACGTCCCAACGAAAGGACCGAATGCATTCATCCTCTGAGGTAGCCCCACGCTCTGCAAAGGCAACGACACGGTCCATTGCATTGCCCGACGAACAGGTGAAGAGGCTGCCGGCTGAGATTGCTGGAAATAAGTCTGTTGAACACCAGCATCTTTTGGACTTTCAGAACCAGGCGAATGGGTGAATGTTGAAGCTCTGAGCTGAGGGCTGTCGCACCCCACTAGATGTGGAGACTCGGTCTGAGGTAAGGGATCTGGAGCCAACAAGCTCTCCATGTCGAACTGTCGTTTCTGTCGCCCTAGTGTGAGTTTAGCTGTATGTGGCGGCGTCTGAAGCATCTTGTGATGGTGGATCGGTCTGTGGGGATCGACCAAGGTTGCTGCTGCCTCCAAGGGTGGTCTTGGCGGTGGCGTCGGAGCGGGGCTGTCGTCATCGTCCGGCACGGCAAGTCCCATGTGTTTACGAACTTTCCTCTGGGCTTTCCTTCTCCTGAAGTCACCTTTCTTGAAGTCCTCTATGTTGGCAGGGTGGATGGCCCAATAGTGGCCCTTGCCATTTGCGCTGCGACCAGCCTTGATGAAGCAGTCGTTGAGAGACAGGTTATGCCGAATGCTATTTCTCCATCCAGGCCCTCGATTGCGGAAGTAAGGGTACTGGTCCAAGATGTACTGATAGATGTCCGACAGCACCATCTTCTTCTCTGGGCAGCTGAGTATGGCCATGGCTATGAGACCTATGTAGCTATGCTGAGGTTTCGGTTCCTCTGCAGCGAAGCGGGCAGCCCTGGGATCAAATCGAACAAAAGGTGATGCGAAACCATACTGTCCAGCATCCGGAAAACCGGCTAAACCGTAGGGTAAACCGAAAGGATGGAATCGTAATCTGCCGTAATCGTAGATCTGCAATCGCTGGTACTCAGCAAGAGCTGCTGCGGGGCTGACCGCTGGGGCGGCCCCATGCAGGGGACCAAAAGGATTCGTCTCAGTGGCGGCCAGAACGTTCTTCAGAGCAGCGAACGACGGCTCGCTTCGGCACATCATGAGCAGGCGAGGAGCACACTTTCCAAGATGCGAATCAGTGGCGGGAGATCTCCGTGACTCTTGGGCTCCGCCTCCCAAGCCTCAATTGGTTGCCAGGAAAGCCGCTTCATTGGCTGCAACAACTGATTGGCGGGCGGTTCCACCCAATGCAAGGAGAGTGTGTGCCAACGCCTAAATTAACGTCTCATTAGAGCGGGGAAGCCAATATTTCAGGTGCTCTGAACGGTTAGGGGTAGTTTTTCGTTAGGAAAGTTTTTCACTTCCCTTTCTGTGTTTCGAAGGAGCGTTTTTTACTTCGAGGGGCGGGGGGACAAGTCGATCCGCCTATTTTTTTGGAAGTTGAGAGTAGGGGATACAAATCGTTTATCTCTTTCTTCACGTGGGTATGTTTCCGTTCCCAGATTTAGTCTTCCATTTTTATTCTTTATTTTATAGAATGGAAGTTATGAGCTTTGATAGCTTCATTGTTTGAATTACATTTTTACAGAGATGAAGTCTTTTTCGAAATATTGCAGAGCTGTAGTTCGGATAAGTTTGCATTGACTCGTCCGGATATTAAGATTATCTGGATAGGTCTGTGAGGGTAAATACATACTTAACTGTAATGCGAGTGAGAGAAAATTATTATTTTTTTAGTTATTATATTTTATTTAAAATAAGAAACATATGTATTTTTAAAAGAAAATAAAAATGATAAATGACTTTAAGAGCTGCTTGTTCAGTAGTGAGCTCTTCTGTTTGCGTCAAATTTTAGAATTAATTTTTGACGACTTCTATCAAATTTTTTTGATATCAAAATCTTATGAAAATTTTCTTGAAATTAAGAACATATATATATAATAAAATTTTAATCAGTAATTTTTTATTTTTATTTACTTATTGTTAAGCGATTATATATTATTCAAGCTATTCATTTATTTTTTATTAGTTTTAATAAAATTAAGAAATATCTTTATCAAAGTTTTTTGTATTTTTACACAACTTAGGTATTTGCAATGACAATATTTCATCTAGTATTAAAAATTAGGAGTAGATTATTTATTAATTTTATTTTTTGTGGGAAATTTTTTTTCCGGAATTTCAGAATAATATGTGTGCTAGTTTTGTTTATCAGGTACTTAACATTAGTTTATTACTCTAATTCATTCTTTGTACATTCAAGTAGAGAAGCCTAAAAATTACATTTCGTGCGTTTAGAGAAATTTTACCGCAATTGAAATAGCTGATAATGTAAGTATGTTTTCTGGCAGGAAATAGCAAGTTGGTTAATATATCTTTCTAGAGAAAACTGTTTGGCGCGTATTGACGAAAAAGATTTCCACGGTTTTATTTTAGATTGATTCGTTCTTTCATTACAATTTTGAGATCAGGTCAGATTCCGAAAGGTTTTGAAATCAGAATGGTCAAGAGTTTCAGATGTGAAAAAAAGCTGATTAGTTTTTGAAAGCATACAACTTTTCGAAGTTAGGTTTTCTTTTAATTTTTGACATCAGATTGATAAAGAGATTGATTTGGAATTAAACTGATCAATTTTTGAAATCAGGTTTTTATAATCAAATTGAAAAAGTAATTGATTTGGAATTAAACTGATCAATTTTTGAAATCAGGTTTTTAAATTTTTGAAATCAGATTGATAAAGAAATTGATTTGGAATTAAACTGATTAATTTTTGAAATCGCGTTTTTAAATTTTTTAAATCAGACTGATAAAGAAATTGATTTTGAATTAAACTGATCAATTTTTGAAAACAGATTTTCAATTCTGAAATTAATATTTTGATGATTTATTTTAAATTGTTTTGAAACAGTTTTCAGTCGACTTCTATTGAATAAATTATCTTGAAATATTTCTAACGTATAAGTAATCTCACTGATAATACTTCATCGATTATTCAAAACTGGATGCAAATATTTTACTTATTTACAATCAACTCTCACTTTACTGGCGGAATTACTTCCTCGGTTCATTCAGAGCCACCATTAATGCAAGGGCAATTAACAACACAATAAGAGAAATAATTGTTACAATTAACAAAACAAAACAAAAAAAAAAATAAATAAATAAATAAAATAAAATAAAATTAAAAAAATAATAATAACTGTATACATCCTGTAAATTTATCGGCATTTTTAAGTAGTAGAATATACATATTCATTTTATTTTGTTATGTAAACTAAGTTAGGATTCAAAATGAAAATAACACATTGCATAAATAGCGGAAGAATACACATCGCAAGAAATGAAGAAACTAAACATCATATTAGAAATACAATTACTAAATTTCAAATAAAGAACAACGTATGCAAGAGAACTTAAAGAATCTGATTGAAAATCTGATTGACTGGCATAAAAAAGTTGGCTACAATGTTTGGTTTCCTTATCGTACATTCCGGGTTAAAGACAGTTAAATATTCCCCTGGTGTGGATAAAAATAATTCGCAAATATAGAATTTTTTATCACTGCTCTTATACACAATTTTCTTTTCCCGTTTAGTGTTGTTTTAGACCTTTATATTTTACGCTGATGTTTCTGTGTTAGCAGTTTACTCATCCTTCCGCAATGAATATATTTTTCCTAACATCAAAGGTGACATTAGCCATAAACCTCACTATAAACTCAAACATTTTTAGCCCAAAGGAGCGTTAGCTATTATTTTCCTTTTAGCGTTTTGCGTGCGTTCACTATAAAAGTCCGAATCCCTTTTAAAACCGTTGCCACCAAATACTATCACCCTGCATTATATTTAAATAAATTAAATAATGAAGAATCTGCATTAAATGTATGTTATTTCTCGCATTGTGATAACAACGGTACCTAGAGCCATCGAATTTTGAATGACGTATTCCTACTGCGAATATGGGTATGTGGAAGCCCAAATTTGAAATTTGGAATTTGTTTTATGATCGATTTCATAGTTTGTAAAACTGTAACGAATTTCTGATTAACAAACTCAAGGATTTCAAAGCGAGCGATGGCAACGTTGTACAGAAAGAAACTTTTTGTCTCCAGCATGTGAGACTGTGTCTCGGAAATTCTAAAGATATGCTCAATTTAAAACTATTTTGTGATGTTACTCTTGAACTGAATTTGAGAAGGACATGGTATTTAATAAATAAAGGTAACACACAAAACGTTAAAGAAACACCCCTTTGGGCGTAATGTAAAATCTGCAAGCTTTCAGATGTTTATATATTTTTAAAATTATTATTTTTTATTTTTTTAATTATGCCTGTATTAATTTTCAAATGTTACCACCAAATGTTATCGCCGTGTATTATTTTTAAAGAAATAATGCAGCGAACATAAAAAGTATACGGCAACACTAGGTGATATGACACAAGCTATAAAAGGATGTTGCCACCAAATGCTATACACATGTATCTTTTTTAAAGAAGAAATATTTGGCAACGTTTAACATTAAAACGGGAATTCTAAAGATATTCGATATCAAATAGTGTTAATTTTTACTTTTAACTTGCTGCCGTTTGATGAAGCTTAAGATGCTTAATTTTTCTTTTAAATTTAATCTGTTATTAATCTCGTGATTAACAAACTGAGCGATTTAAAAGCAATCAACTTAGTTCTTTATCTCTTTTATTAATTAACAGCTGGATCCGTGAAATGACACTACGTGTATTTATTAAAAGCGTAACATAGATATAGTAACTATATATATATATTTTAATTTTAATAGTAAATTGTGCTTTTAGATTTTATATCCAGGTGTTTAACTTCTTTTCTCTTCTTTACTTTTCTTTTAATTTCCGTTTTAAAAAGGCCACTCGTGGGAGGAGAGGTGGATTAGTATGCCATTTTAGAAAAAGACCGATTTTGTGTCGAAATATGCTATATATATAAATTTAATACACATCCTAAGTCGCACTTTCGAAACATGGAAAACGCAAATTAAATTTCATCAATCGTTCCAGTAGAAAGGAAGATTTAGAATTGCCCCCCCCCCCCTCTTTGTTTGTGTATGTGAGCAGAGGGTACGTATTTTGATAACCTGATTTTTTTTCTAAACATGTACAGAATTCAGTTACGTTCTACGCTATCGTATGTAGCAACAATGCAACATATTTATTTATAAATTCAAACATAAAATAAATTCCTGGAATATCTGCCTTCTCTCACATCGGAGACCTTTTGAAATTAATTTATGTCTATTATTTACGTAACATTTATCTTGCGCACCAAGAAGTTGCCAGATTCCGCAAAATACGTAATGGTAATTTTGGAAACAAATTTTTGAAAACTTTTTGGGTATGTGTTATTAATCAGCTTTACCTTTTCTATGAGTAATTATTGTCAAATTACCGTATTTACTCGCGTAATAGTCGCCCTCACGTAATAGTCGCACCTATGTTTTGAGCGTGCAATATTGTGCAGTAGATTTCCCCGCATAATAGTCGTACCTAGACTTCCACAATGAAAAATTGGCAAAAAAAGTGCGACTATTACTCCAGTAAATACGGTGTAGAGACATTAGGTATTTTTTGAAAGCAGAAGAGATGAAAAATGAGCTATGCACTCGCCGGGACTCGAACCACGAACCTCTCAAATACGCGTCGAGCGTGCTGACCACTACACCGCGAAGACATGCTAAAAAGGCGCGAGAAATACCTTATAGAATCCCCCTTTTAATGGCGACTGGGGATTAGGGAACCCAATCGCCAAATCCTGGTGGTGGAGAATCATCACCCACCACCTTTTTCAGTTCGGGCGCCCACTGTAGGAACATTAGGTGTTTTTTGAAGGCAGGAGACATGAAAAGTGAGCAACGCCTTCACCGGGAATCGAACCGCGGAACTCTCGAATACGCGTCGAGCGTGTTGACCACTAAAGGCATGTTAAGAAGGCGGGAGAAATACTTTATAACGGTATATCTGAAAGTAAAAGGAAATTTACTTCTTTGGAGAGTAAAATAAAAATTTTGTTTTGCTGTCGGCTGTCAAATGCGCTTGTCGTTGGAAAGAGCCTTAAGCACCATATGGGTAACAGCCCGACTTCAGCTCAGTTCCTCCCCCCCCCAATTTTGAAAGAGAGTGTTCTGAAGGGACGGTTTCGAGTGTCTCTAACCCGTCTTCCGCTACCAGCAGTCTCTCCAGAGGAGTTTCAGCTCCCCCCATATTTAGAGTGCCTCTATGCCGCGCATATACTAAACGCTTCAAAACATCCATACGTTCGTTCTAAGAGATACGAACCCGGGCCCTTCGGTACGGCAGTGAGAGTCACTATCTTGATTGAATGGCAATAGAAATTTTGTATCTCTTGTTTAAAGGAGGAAACGCGTCTGACACTGAAAAAAGTGTAAATTTAAAAATGAGGCAACAGGAAGAACCATTAAAAATGTTAGCTTGTTTTTAAAAGATGAACTCATCTTTTAAAAAGTATTGTTTACATTGTTTGGTATTAGTCGTTAATCTCGTGTAACATGGTGTCAACAGTATTTGCTAGAAACCAATCCACTGTGCTATAGGAGGGATACTTGTAGTCCATTATAATTTTTGTATTGTTTAAATTAAAGAAAAATTACATAATATTTAATAAATTAAAAATAATTTCATTTTAATTCATCAAGATAAAGGCACAAGAGATCTTGATAACCAGAATCAAAAATAATAAGTTTTATTTATTTAATTTATTCATTTATTTTATGTTCCATAAAAAGCTCTTACCGATTTGTGTAGCAAAAGGTCTTTGTTTTGTTCTTCAAATTATAACAGTATTATCAGTGAAGCAATAAGAACCATTTAAATGGAAAATATACCGTAATAGTGTCGATATAAAACAGGTGGCTTGAAGAAATATTATTATTATTATTAGTGTTTTTAAGAACTTCAAAGAAAGAGGGGAGGGGGAAAATTGAAAAAAAAAAAAAAAAACGGAAGAAGCGATGGGGAGGGTCATATTACGATCTAATACTGCATTCTAAAAAAACCATATTACGATTTAATACTTCAAAAAATGTACCATTAACAATTTCTTAAAAATTTTAAAAATACAAAAAGTATTAAAAATGCGTTAAATAAGCTTGCGCATTTAGCTTCATGTTTAAAATATTTTTTTTTTTTTTTTAAATCTAAAATCATTAGATTCGATTTTAATGGTAGCCCAAAAGGGTTTGTTAAGTTTTTTTTTTTTTTTTTTTTTTTTTTTTTTTACGCTTTCGCTAAGTTCGCAATCTACCAGTCTTGTGTTACCACGTTACACCCACTTCTACTAAAGCCGCATTTTTTTTTTTTTTTTTAAGCTTTATTGTCAAACGTAATTTTCAGCAGTAATTTACAATGCAGCGTTAAGATTTTTATTATTATTATTATTATTTATTTATTTATTTAAAGAAAAAGAAATCCTCGTGCACCACAAATTATTACACGAGACTTACAAATTGTAAGTGAAATAGGCAAAATTGTAAGTAATAACATCAATTTTCAATATTACAATGAAATCATACAAAAAAAAAGTAAATACAAAAATATAAAAATGTATAAAGAAATCATTTACAATGTTTAAAATAAAAGTCAAAAAAATCGTTAAAAGCTAGGTGGGCCGAAGCTGAAGATACAAAATCATAACATTTCAGCGGCCAATGAAATCCAATTAATATTAATCTGCGTTAAGATTTAATTAATTTTAATCTGCGTTAATTCAATTAATTTTAATCTGCGTTAAGCGTTAAGATTTGGCATGCATTTTTCTCTTTTTTTAGTCTTTTCTCAGTTCATCATATATTCATAGTTTTCTTACTAAGATGGCTTTATAAAACTTCTATCCTTTTATTATTAACGTTTTATGCTTTTACTTCATTTTTAGTGTATCCCATTCTTGGCTCTTAAGCCACATAAAATTCGATTTCAACAACAATATTACAAAATATTTTAAAACAGTGTATCGTTAAAATTTTCGATAGACAGTCTCCCGCGCTGGAGATAAAAATGTTTTATTCCGTACAGTGTTGCCACTGCTCGCTTTCAAATCGTTAAGTTTGTCAGTCAAAAATTTGTTAAAAGTTTTACAAAATTTGAAATAGGTAATGAACCAAATTCGAAATTCAAAATTCGGGCTGCCCATGCTCTGGTGCGGAACTACGTTATTCAAAATTGGATGGCTCTAGGTACCGTTGTTTTTCAATACTGCGAGAAACATACATACATTTATGCAGATTTTGATTATTTAATTTCTTTAAATATGATACAAGGCGATAATATTTAGTGGCCACAGTTTGAAAAGTGACACATAGCATTTAAGTGTTTCGAAGCACAGTGCCATTTCGAGACTGATATCCCATTCTGGAGTAACATCCCTTAGGGGCTAACACTAAGACAAACCATAAAATTAAGTCTTAACTGTTGCATAAAGTTAACACTCAACTGGAGTCCTATTATTTTGCCGTGAATTGCCTACACTTTAATTTATGAAACCTAATTTAGCATCATTTTACTGTCATAGGTACTCTGCTTTCACGGTATATTACAAACTAATAATAATAATAACAATAAAATGAAATTAAGCTTGTTAGGCTCTCTTTCAGACTACTGTTTTGTCGTCATAAAGCTTTCTGGTTTAAGGCAGAAAAGTCATTTAGCCATTCGCAAGGTTTAAGGCCCTAGCATGGCCAACTACAGGATCGGCCACGGAAGATCAGAAGTCATGTGATCTGACGTCACGAACTCCGTCTGAGGAAGAACGTTTGAGTGGGAGAATGGATGTGTGCCGTTGGAGTAGCGTAAATATTTGGTGTTCCTCGTTAATAACGAATATTTTAAACCGTTTTATTTTATATTATTTATAATGCCAGATCGATGCTGTGTCCCAGGATGCCAGTCAAATTATGACAAAGCTGGAACGTACGTTTCTGTTTTTAAATTTCCAAAAGACGTTGAAAAGAAAAGTATATGGTGCAAGAAGATTCCACGAAGAAACTGGTCGCCATCTGCAAGAAGTGTTGTGTGTGAAAAACATTTCATTCAATCGGATATTATAAGAATTGACGAAATATCAGACAAAGATGGTACTATCTTAAAAGTGCCAAGAAAATGTCCAAAACTGAAGGAAGATGCTTATCCGTCTATATTTCCTAATTGCCCAAAATACCTGACGGAAAACAAACCTACTCCAAGAACAAGTAGATCTGAAAAACTTGCAAAATCAGATGAAATTGCATTTCAGCAATTTTTAGATAAAGACCGAATCAAAAGTTTATTGATTTTTGTGAACAATTGGATCTACGGATAAATTCGTTCAATTTAATTTCAAAACCAATTGTAATAAAAAACAGTGATCATGTATTTTTAATTAATTTAAATTTATTGTCAGAACTAAGGGTACTTTCAAGCATAAAAATCAATAATGATATGAGTTTAAATGTTTTTCTTGGTGATATTTCTGTTCCTGTATCTCACTTCAAAATTATTCTAAATAACCCAGATAATCTTTTACGATGGAGTGAACTGGAAAATATTTTAAGTTTCATTAAAAATATGCAGAAAGATGATTTAAATGAAGTGCTTCCTAGTGAAAAAGAAAAGTCTGTGTATCATTGGAAAAAAATGCATTTCTCCTGATGAAGATATGTATGTATGACAATAAAAAGTTCATATTAGAGCAAATGAACTTGTGTGATAAATCTAAAATGGCTCGAAGGTACAGCAGTGAACTTTTAATTTTTGCATATTCTTATACATGAAGTCCTCATCACGTTATTCTTCGTTGTACGACAGCAGTTTATTGTCAATGCCATCAACCGATCATTTAGGTAAAATTACAAGCATTCTGAATCTCGACAATTCGTTACAAAATGAGAATACAAAAAAATACATGAGTGAAAAATTCAACAAATTGAACGATGAAAATAGAATTGTAAATCTACTAATTGATGAAATCTATGTAAAGAAATCAATCGCTTATAAAGGGAAATCAATATCAGGTTTTGCAGAAAATAAATCCGATACTGAAGCTACAACTGTACAAGCTTTCATGATAAGCTCTATTTATTCATCTTATAAAGAAACTGTTGCTTTAGTTCCTGTTAATAATATGAATGCAGATTATTTATGCTGCCTGACCCGCAAAGCTCTTCATATTCTGAATGAAGCAGGATTTTCAGTTGTTTCGATGATTTCTGATAACAACAAAATAAACAGGAACATGTTTCAGAAGTTAGGTCATAAACAAATGTCAACTCATGTCTGCAACCCTGCAAATAACGAGAAAAAATTATTCTTACTTTTTGATTCGGTACACCTTTTGAAATCAATAAGAAATAATTGGATTAATCAGTTAGACACCCAAAAACATTTTGTTGTCCTGATTTTGATGATCCATCAAAATGTATAATTCCTAAAATTTCGCATCTAAGGAATATATATCATAAGGAGAAGACCTCAATTGTGAAAATGGGCCATAAACTTTCATTCAAAAGTTTATATCCTTCAAGTTTAGAAAAACAAAATGTGAAGTTTGCTGTAAATATTTTTTCATGAGAGTAATGATGCTGCTCTTCAATTATTGGGAAAGAAACACTGCATTAATAATTGGCAGGATACGGTAAAATTTTTGCAAATTATCAGAAAATGGTGGAACATTATGAATGTGAGCCACCTAAACAAAAGCCTTTATATAAAATGTGAAGACAGCAAAGCATTTACTGCACCTGATGGATAAAAGATTTAGGTTTTTGGAAAAATTCTGTTGTTGGCTTGAGCAGTGGAAAAACATGAAGCAACAGTCTCGTTGCGGATGTTTAAGCGAGGAAACTTATTTTGCTCTTTATCAGACAACAAATGCAATCATCGATGTAATTAAAGAGCTTTTAGTAAATAGCTCAAAATTTATTTTAACTTCCAAATTTCAGACTGATAAATTGGAATACAGATTTTCGCAATATCGTCAGATGTCTGGAGGAAATTACCATGTTTCAGTTCAGCAAATTCTGGAGTCTGAAAGAAAAATTAAATTGAAGTCCATTCTTCATCTTCATTCTAATTCATATGGTAACATCTCTTTAAAACAGTTTGTTACAGAATTTTCAGACATTAAGAAATGAGTAAATATGTTGATCTTACACCTTTTGATGAAATTATTTGCAATGGTGTAGAATTGGCTGCAGTTTCGGACACTGATGCAGAAGTTCTCACATACATTGCTGGTTACTGCACAAGAAATATTAAAACTAACTGCAGTGCTTGCATAGATTTCTGCGTCTTGGACAAAGAATTATTAGTTGAAACTTGTGATGGTACATTAGCGGAAACAAATTATGCATATATTGATATTGTAAATCGAGGAGGTTTAAAATACCCGACAGAAAATATGGTGTTGTTGATATCAACTGCATATTTACTTTTCCAAACTATTATATCTGAAAAATATGAGAAGCATTTTATCCACAACAATGGAAAACAACACCAGCTTCTTACAAAAATAACTGAGGCTCATCTCAAAATGAATGATGTAGTGTGTTTTAGTGAGAGATGCTGTGAATGTCATTTGCCATATGAAATAATAATCATGAGTGTCGTCAAGACTTTTCTTAATATTTGTTTGAACAATTATGTAAAAAACATTTCTTTAAAGTCCCTTGAAAGAAATGAGGAAAGAAAACTGAAAAAGTTCAAGAATCGGTGAAAAGCAATTTTTATTATCATAGCAATTTATAATCAATATTTAAGAATTATTTTACCATCTTGTTATTTGTCTTATAAAATAAAACATCATAATTCAAATAAAAAATCAGGGTATTTAAGGGCATCGCAAGGAAAAAATACTTAATTGCAGATGTTTGCTTAAACCCTTTTCAAATTTATTTATCTAACTTTAAAATAATTGTTATTGCCAACTTAATCATATATATAATTATTATGTAATCCTTATGTAATCCTTATGTTTAAAACACTTTTCACTACTCAAAAGAGTCCTTTTGTTACAACTTTATGGTATTAAAATCTCCCAAAATAGTATATTTGTAGGTTAAAATGTTTATTAATAAGAATTTTATTTATTTGCATAAGAGTGAAGTAAAAAAATGATTGCTTACTTATTTATGTTCATTAAGACGTATTTCTAATATAGGTAATAAGAACTTTTGAAGGTTAATAGAATTAACGTAAAAAAATTGTTTTGCGATTCTGGTAAAATTTGGATATTTAAGGCCTTTGTTGTAAAACACTGCTGCAGATAGATATTCTCTTAAATTAATTAGGTTATTTTCATGCTGTGTGTGTTATATTTAAATGTATGATTTATGTGAATTCAATCATAAATTTGATGAGTGTTTCATGGTTTTTGCTGTACTGAAGAAAATGCTTTGTAAATTAGTTATTGGAATTAACATTCTTTAAAGTAGTGTGCTTATTGTTAAGATTCTGAAAATAAAAAAGGCTTACTATGCTTCTTATTTATAAACATGATAGTATATTTCTAATGTAGGTAATAATAGAATTTGGATGTAAATAGAATTATCATAAAAAAGTGTTTTATGATTCTGAAAAAATTGGTATAAAAGGCATTTAAAGACGCTGCTAATGGTTAGTTACTTAAATCAAACAGATTCTTTTAAAATTGTATTGTGCTATGTTCAAATGGAAGATTTATGTGAATTTAATATAAATTTGATTCTGACTTTGCTATGAGTGTTTCATGGTTTTTGCTGTATTGAAGAAAATCTTTTGGAAATTTTTTAATGCCATTCATGCTGTTTCAAATGATGTAGTTATTGTTAAAATTTGGTCTATATGAGTCTAATCATAACAATTACAGTTCTGAAAATAAATTCAGAAAACTAATATTCTCCTTATTTATGATCATGATGGTATATTTTTGACATAGGTAATAAGATACTTTGGGTGTAAATAGAATTATTATAAAATGTTTTTTATGATTTTTGTAAAATTTGGATATTTAATCCCTTTATAGCATTTAAAACAATGATGCGGTTATTTGTTTAAATCAACAAAGTTCTTTTCAAATATATTTTACATGTTCAAGTATATGATTTATGTAAATTTTATCACAGTTTCAATCTGATATATTCTGGGAGTTATGTAGTTTTGTTTTGGATATTCATTAATGACATTAAGTTTAGTTTATGTGAATCTACCCTTGCATATTGTTTCTGAAAAGGACATCAGAAAAAAAAAATACCTACCTATTTATAATCTTCTAACCTAGATGCTTGTATGTTACGAATGTGTGTATAGGTAATGTAAAAAAATGTTTGTGTTTGTGGTAAATGTTGGATGTTTGAAACTTTTGCCTTGAAATTGTTTCAAACCATAAAAATAATGTTGGTGTTTCTGATTTAAATTAGAATATTTTAAAACTCAGTGTTTAATATTAAAATGTTTGGTTTATATGAGTGTTGTCGTATAATTTAAATGTTTTATGATGTTGGCAGCATTTAAAATATAGTTACATATCAAAGGCATGAGAATATCTTCAGGCAGTGTGTCTAACATTCAGATGTTTGGCTTAAGTTAGTTTATTGGAAAATGAAACTAGGAAATTGATTACTTGCTTATTTTTTATTATGAAGGTAAATTACTAATATAATAATAGCATGCTATAACTAAAACTAAGTAAAAAACATTTTATTATAAAATCAATGTATCTGAAGCTGCAAGATAATTTTTTTTCCCGTTGTGTAATTTATTATACACTTTCCTTTATATCATTCTATTATTATTATTATTATTATTATTATTTTCTAAATTCTTATATTTCCTAATTTTTAAACTCTTCCAATACTATTATGAAATTCTTCTGCAAGATAATTGATCTTTTGATTAAAATAAAAAATTCTCCTTTTTATTTGTGTTTTGTTAATTGTGAAATTTTCTTGCTCCATGAAAGGATCATTTCTGTGCATGTTATGCAAAGCTCATTTAAGAACATATTATTACAAATAATTTTTTTAATTATTTTTTAATATTTAATCCTTTGAAAATATAAATTTATAAATGATGAAAGCATACATGAAGGAGTGCGCGATATTTAATTAATCACACTATGTAAGAGAAACTTCTACGAAAGTCGATAAATATGTATTTACACTATTTAGTCAATTATTTTTTGCATTTTAAATTGTAATTTTTTAAAAATTTTCTAAATTAGGCATAAATAATATGATCACAAAGGTAAAATAACTGCATATTAGGTATATAAGGCATTTCAAATGTGATATAAGAAAGCATATTTTATTATGTTTTGCGACGATGGAAGTTCGATCATCGGGTTGA